TTTTTTTTTCCAGTATAATGATGTTATACGGACAAAAAATGTGACGAAAATTAAGTAATTTGCAGGGGCTAGTCTTACTATCAGTGGCAACACAGCTCTTTTTGCTGAAACCTAAAGGTTGTGGGGATGAAACTACTCAATGTAAAACCCAATCAAGCTGGGAGATATGTCTCTTCTATGTATCCATATACATGATTGCCCTCGGAAATGGAGGTTACCAACCTAATATTGCTACATTTGGAGCTGATCAATTCGATGAAGAGGATGAGCATGAGGGACATTCCAAAGTTACATTCTTCAGCTATTTCTACCTGGCTTTGAACCTTGGTTCACTATTCTCCAACACCATTTTGGGATATTTCGAGGATGAAGGAATATGGGTTCTTGGATTTTGGGCTTCTACTGTATCCGCCTTTGCAGCTCTTGTCTTGTTTCTTGGAGGTACCACGAGATACAGATACTTCAAGCCAAGGGGCAATCCCCTTGCAAGGTTTTTCCAAGTGATAGTTGCAGCAGCAAAGAATTGGAAGGTGGAAATGCCAGCAGGTGAAGTTTATGATTTATACGAAGGGAATGGAAATGAGAAATCAATTGTTCGTGATAGAAAGATGCTTCACACCGATGGTTTCAAGTAAGCGTAAATGCAAATTTAAATATGATCTTATCAATTTAATATGATGTTTAATTTTCATGTATTATTATAACAGATTCCTGGACAGAGCAGCATTCACTAATTCACCAGTTTTTGAGTACAACCCTTGGCGCCTCTGTCCTGTTTCCCAAGTTGAAGAGGTGAAATGCATTCTGAGACTCCTCCCAATATGGCTGTGCACTATAATTTATTCAGTCGTTTTTACCCAAATGGCCTCATTGTTTGTGGAACAAGGTGACAGTATGAAAACCACAATTTCAAATTTCAGAATCCCTCCTGCAAGCATGTCTAGCTTTGACATCCTTAGTGTCGCAGCCTTCATATTCCTGTACCGGAAAGTAATAGATCCACTTGTTTGTAGAATTAGAAACAATAAAGGAAAAGGGTTAAATGAGCTGCAAAGGATGGGGATCGGACTTGTTATAGCAATTATGGCCATGGTTGTAGCTGGTATTGTGGAGTGCTACAGGCTCAAATACGCGAAAAAAGATTGCAGACATTGCCAAGGCTCGAGCTCATTGAGCATATTTTGGCAAGTCCCTCAATATGCTCTAATTGGAGCCTCAGAAGTATTTATGTATGTAGGCCAGTTGGAGTTTTTCAATGCACAAGCACCCGATGGACTAAAGAGCTTTGGAAGCGCACTGTGTATGACGTCAATATCTCTAGGGAATTATGTCAGTAG